AATCTGCATACTTTCTTTTCTCCAAAATTACCTTCAAATCCTGGCGGTAGCCCCATTTACACTTCTTCCTCAAGGTCTCCATGGAGAAATGCGTTTTTTACATCAAGTTGGTGCATCGATCAGTCTCAGTTTGCAGCTATGGACAGTAAAACCCGAACTGTATGTTGTCAGGGGCTTATTTGTTATTACCTTTATAATGTTAGGGCTTATATGTAATTTTTGAAACTTGTTATTATCAATAGAATGTGGTGGAAGGATGAAATTATTCTTTCATTCTTTCTCTCTTTCCCCATCTCTCTCTTTTTTTCTCTCATCCGCTTTCTTTCTCTTTTTCTTCTTCTTTATCACTTACTCTTGATTTGATTATATCTTAAAGGCAACATGGTATCAGAGCATGGTTTGTAAAGCTCTAGGTTTGTAGTTGAAACCCTAAGTTTGTATAAACCCTAGTGGGTGTGAAGGGTTTTGAAGAGATTCCATGATGGGATTTGTTTGCAAGGAAGAAGTGTTAATCACATCCACACGTACCACGGATCCAAGATTTCAAAAAAAATTTGGACCTGTTTTTGATCTATTGCAGTCTCGATTGGTGTTTTTTACGTGTTCACTAGATCTGTTTTTTCTTCGTCGTTCACGATTTTGGTATGGTCTACTTTGTTGCTTTCTAAGGTTTGTGTGGTGACTGCGTGGTTGCTTTTTTATGCATCTCAAAAGACGGTAATCTTTCTTGTTAAAGTTGTAGGTTAGAGAGGTGGTTTTCCATGTGTTTTGTTGTTGCTTTTGTTTCTGAGGATTGTATACCCATATACTGTTTGATAAAATGTCTAGCTCAGAGGTGACTTTAAAAGAAGTTGGGTCTTCTCCCAGTATGACTCTAGTATTGGGAGGTAGTAGTGATCACCATCCAGGCCTTTGTATTACCACTATTATGACATGGTTGTTGCAGTCAATGCAGCCACATATCAGCAAAGGGTTTCTATTTGTGAAAATAGCTAAAGAGCTATGGACGGCTGTGGAAGAGACGTATTCCTCGGTTGGTAATTTTACAAAACTGTATAAACTCCAACAACAGATTTCAAGATTCAAGCAGGAAGACCAAACTCTTGCTATATATTACCATACTTTACGTGGTAAATGGGAATAGTTAGATGACTACCAAGACTACATACATGTGTGTGCAGTTGATATTAAAGCATTTCATGCTATGGTAGAAAGGAATCGAATCTATGAGTTCTTGGGTGACCTGCATCCGAGATACGAGCATGCCAGGGTACAAGTGTTAGGCAGGTATCCAACCTTTACTTCTGTTAGAGATGTTTTTTCGTATATCCATGCTAAGGAGAGTAGAATAAAGGTTATGTCTGCACCCGTATATACTAAGCTTGATCAGAAGTACCATTGTCTGAGAGGTCTGCTCTTGCCACACAACAATGGAACAAGCCCAATTCCAAAAGGAGAGAAACATGATGACAAAAGCAAGTTGAGGTGTGATCATTGTGGGCTTATACGCCACACTAAGCAAACATGATGGAATCTACACGGTCGCCCTACTCCAGCTCCTACTAATGCGAATGCTAAGCCAACGCCTGGTTCATTTAGGGGGTTATCTACAGCACATACTACAAAGCATGGGACTGCTTCTATTGGTCATGCCTCCTCAGGGCCACCGAGTTCTTTGTCTAGGGCTAAACTTGATACTCTCTAGGATCTACTAGCACAACATTCCTCTGTTTCCACCTCTAACTTCGCTCAGACAGGTACCTCTCATTCGGCACATCAGGTTTCCATATTATCTAGTAGGTCACCCTGGATCATGGATTCAGGAGCCACTGATCACATGGCTGGTATGGCATCTGATTTTTCTTCATACAGTTTATGCCCTGGTAAGGATAAGGTTAGAGTGGCTGACGGCACCTTCACCTCCATTACGGGAAAGGGCACTGTTTCTGTCCTCATTTCTCTTACTGGTTCGTTGTGCTCAAGGAAAGGCATTCTTAGTTTTCACAGCCATGGCTGAGTTCTCATTACCCGAGTTATTTTAGCCATTCATCATCACAGCCAGCCTCAATTCTTCCCTTCTAACTTCAGCAAAGACCTTTCTAACAGATGGAACTGGTTTCCTTCCAAGCAATCTTCCTCTAACCTGATCGTATTCAGCATTTAATCCAGCAAGAAAATCAAACACACTGTCTCTCTCAAGAATCCCCTTATATATCATGCTATCCTCCACATTCTTCCAATCATGGTCCTGGTCCATTTCTTGCCAAAGGCGACTCATTCCATTGAAATAAACAGTCACACTTTGCGTACCTTGTTTTGATTCATGGATCTTACTCCTCAAACCAAACAACTGGGAGTTGTTATCCTTGTCCGAATAAGTGAGATTGACAGCCTCCCATAGCTCTTGTGCAGTAGAAAAAAACATGAAACTCTGACTCATCTCTGGCTCCATTGAGTTAATGAGCTAGGACAAAATCATAGAGTTTTCGGCATCCCACACTTCAAAACCAGGCTCCTCTGGTTTAGGTGCCTTGTTTAATCCATCCAGCCATCCTATCTTCGCCTTTGATGAAAAACTTCACGGACTGAGACTAGCAGAGAAAGTTTTGGCCACTGAGTTTGTGGGTAGTAATCTGAATGGTAGGACTTTCTATAGGCCCTGAGGTTTGCCCACTAGAAGTCTTTTACGAAGCACTAACAAAGGTTGCTTTAGACATGGTGGCTGAAGGGAGTTAGCCAGCAATGAAGGCCAACTGATTTAGAAGAAAATGAACCCAGAACCCAAAGGAGGCTCTGGTACCATGTTAACAACCATCTACTCCAAAAGCTTAAGTTGTCGGAGATGGTATTATTTAAATATATAAAGCTTTCAACAATCTGCATCTTTGCTGGTCTAAGGTCAAGAAGCTGTCTTCATCGACATCCTAATCGAAAACAACTTCGAGAAGGTTGGTCAAGATCGAGGCACTCTCGTCAAGGTCAACGCTCCGCATGAATCCTTGTACAAATATGTTTCATTCATATCTTTTCTACAGGATGTTAAGCTTGTATAGCAGACCTTGACTCCATCGCCATCGCTGCCGCCTTGCACCACCACCACCTTCCAACACCGCCATCGGTGGTACACTGGTACCTCACATGAAGACTTGAGCAGATTCGATCCGAGAGATCCATGATTTAGGATACAAATGGTTTCCAAGTGTAGGATCTTCTCTGTGAGTAGCTAAATTCCCTCTTAGGGCATTGATGTAGCCCTAGCAAGTAACATGTGTTAATTGTTCTTATTTTTGGGGATCTTTTATGGATTATGTATTAGTGCACCCTTCAAAGCAACATAACAACATTCCCTTGGAAACAAAAAAGAAGAATCTATCTCCAAGCCTGAACCTTAAACCCATGTAATAAAGAAATTTTCTACCATTAGAGAGAGCCCGAGCCATCAGTGAGATACCACTCTCGAAGAGCTAGAATTCTAACCTTGTGTCAGGACCTACGGGCCAAGGGACAGTCTCAGGTAGACAGTTTTTCTTTTTTTCTTTTTGAGTTTCGGGAATATCCCCATTCCATACTTATATATATATATTTATATTATGATTTATATTTTACATATTTTGGAATTGATATGGATGTCATGGTATGTTACCTGGACTAGAGCACGTGTATTGGGTGTGGGTGTGTTTCCAGGCGTCCGACAATAACAAATCCCCAATCAAAGGACTCAGTAACACTGTCAAATATTCATGTTATCTAATATTCTTGGTTAATTTATATAAGTAAAATAATTTTTTTATGTTACATAATGTTTAATATAGGCATTTAACTCGTTTTGAAGCAATAATTGAATCAATGGATATGCTTTTTAGGTGCATGTCCAACTAAAAGTGTCGGACACATATCCCATACCCATATTTGAGGATAGTGTTTACGACATTGAGGCCTCTTTAATCAATGAACCTTGTTTCATGTCTGTGTCAATCTGTTTGTCTTTTCAATTATAAACAAAAAATGCTTTCCCATTTCTAAACCAGTCCCTTAAAGGGTACTGCAGTCCTATTTCGATTATCAAATGTTGCCTTTTAAGTGATGCATGGCTCATGGATGGCTGGAATCAAATGCAATATTGGGGTGTAATACTTAAACTTTTGGATCCTGTTGCTTCACAAGGTTTTTGTAGGGAAATGGAGATACCTTTAGGGTTTTAGCAGATTAAACCATAACAAGGAAATTTTTGTTTCTTCACTCCCTGCCTCCTCTCTCTCCCTCTCTAAAAGCCATTGAATCTTTGACTGGGCTTTGACAAATGCACAAGCCAACGAGGCACAGTTCTTGGTCAGTTCAGAAGATTTTGTTGGTTGTTTAATTGCTAGTCTTGATTAAATTATGTCTTTTCGGGATACGTAGATGTTTCTACAGAGAACATTTCATTATCGAAATTAAGTTGCATAGCTACTCCTATATTAGGCTTCTTACTCCAGACTTTAGTGCCATATATATTGGGTTATGCTCCCTTTCAAAGCTTCATGCTTCTGCTGTGAACAGGGTTTAAGCAATCGGCAAGCTCATGTTGCCTTGAACTTGCTCTATTTTTTATTTTATTTATTTTATTTTTCTATCAATCAACAATAAGAATAAACCATAACCCTGCCCCACCTATTTTGCTGCCGTTCCTTTTACCACTTTGCTATTATGGATTTCGCGTGTTAATCTTGCTCTAATAGAATTTGGAATGTACAATTTGGCATGAATAGGTTGAAAACACCTTCACTATTTACACTGTTGTTTGGCTAATTGATACAAAATTGATTTACTTTTTTGTGTAATATTTTTACCAAAGTTTTTCATTCCTTGGAAAGGGCTACAGCCATGTCTTCCTTTAACTTACACGCCGCATGAAAACATGTTCTGTTTGCTTGAATTATGGTTCTGTTTCACTTCAGAAGTTCACATGTTCATGTTACTTGACGTCTATGACATTGTGAATTTTTATTTTATATATGCAGAAAATTTTAGGTACTTCTCATGATTTAGAGGAATTCCCATATCTCAAAGCTGAACTTAGCATGCGACAGCCACTGTCTCTTCTAGGTGATTAAGCTTTCACCATGGTCATGGTCGAATCTGGGGCTCATCGCCACATATCATTCGGGAGTTCTTGTTGCTGTGTACGTGTTATAAGGTGCTCTTGGCAGCTCTATGTTATGCGACCGACGTGCTTGGTGCTTCCATCTTACTGGTACAGCTACTTCCAACACCATTTGTATATATGTTTGGTGATTGCATGTAATCCGCTTGTTTGATGCGCCCATGTCGCTGGGACAAGAACTTCCAGAAAATATGTAAATGGCAACCACCCACTGTAAGAGCAATGATATTTCGACTCGTTGAAGCTCGTGTATGACATTTTTGAGTTCTCATCAATGATGCTTCCATTTAAAGGATGTGCATTTCAACCATGTGGTATGCCAGTGGAAAAATGTTGGGTTTAAGATTTAAGTAGCAGATTCGGATTTCTGTTAGCTAATGTGAAAAGCATACTTCCCTCTCCATTTTTGTTCAAGCTTAGTAGCGGATTTGGATTTCCTTTTGTATATGCAAGTTATAAAATCAAATAACTAAATAAATAAAAGGAAAGGGTTCGAGCTCCAATGTGGACAAAAGTGTGTGTTTGCTTTACCGTTTGAAAAAAATAATAATAAATTAAATTAAAAAATTATATCATTTCACCGTATAAAACATATGTCGATGGCAGTGTCGTGGGTAAAAGCTATTATTGACATGTTTAATAACAGTAACTTGGTAAAAAAAAAAAAGTTGTCATAAGTTTAGGCATGTCTCCAGTTGTTCTGTTGGAGTACCTGTCTACCTGATAGCTTGGACATGGAAATATTGGGGAATACAGAAACTATTGCAACACAAAGGATTATGAAGAAAAATAATAATACAAAGTTCAAAATATTGAGGGTAAATTGAAAGTATTGTTTTAGTAGTTTTTGGTAAAAATGAAAATTATAAACAATGAATTTGAAGTGATGAAGTTTATAAGTGGTAATTAAAATATATATATATATTAAAATATATATATATATATATATATATATATATTTTTTTTTTTTTTTTTTTTGAATTTTCAACGTTCAGTATTCAGTGTTATAAATGATGTTTCTATTACTTAAAATTTTATTCTATTTTAGGTGGTGTTATCGTTTTCAATGATTGAAATTGCATTATTAAGGGCATGTTTGGTATGCGTTTTGTTTTTAGTGTTTTTGTTTTTATCAAGTACTGCAGAAGTGAATAGTGGAAAAAGCGTGTACGGTAAAAACTGTTTTATTTTGCACAATGCCAAAAATTGAAACCAATTTAGTGTTTTTATTGTTTCTGCACAATAGCGATGAACAATAATTTTTTTTTTTTTTTTGAAAAACTCTTTAAATGATATTTTTAAACTAATCATTATATTTTTCAAACTTGCAACACTTTTTTACGAAATATGTTTTTATGTTTTTATTTTCAAAATTTTTGAAACAAATGGATGTTACTAAACATGTTTTCGATTACTATACAAAGCATTTTATACCAAAACACTTGTTTTGTTTCAGGTTAAAACAGAACATCAAAACAAAACGATTATATTCGAATTCGGAGAACGCTAATCATTTTAGTTCATCTCTATATGAAACGCGTATCATACATGCTTTAAATGTACTTTTTTGAATAAATGCGTAAAGGTTATTTAAGTTGGACCACAAAAATGCTGAATTTATTCACTTTGAAACTGGCCTAGTTATCTACAGGTAGGAAAGTTTCAACCCTAGTAATCTGACCATAGAATTTGAATTCTAACCCAATCAACAAGTTGAAACTAATAGAAGTAAAACAATGAATACAATTAGAGAAAGAAATAGAGAAAAATCACAGCATTCATATTATATATTCTTTTTGCTTGTAGAAAGTTTCAAGTTGACCACTGTAGAGTCTTGTCATGTTTTACTTTCTTTTATAGTGTGATTAAAATGTGATTGTTTTCAAATTTAAATGAATTGAATGGTCCTTAGATTCCAGTCTCCATTCATCATCATGCTTTTTGTACTCCTTATGATTTATTGTGGTCCTAATTATAAGAATGTCACATATGAAATTATTTAAACCACATTAGAATATTTCAATTCCTTCTCTAATTATCTACTTGATTAAAGGTGAGGAGTTAAACATAAATTATCTGGTCGGACACCTTTTATTGATAACATATGATAGATGTTTTGGAGGAGGAGGTCCCTAATTCGACACTCGAAAATCCGTTGCATTGAAGGCGACACTCTTCTTGGATTGTTGGAGACTTACTCGAAGGTTGATGTTCAGATCTCGCCAGTATTTTCATAAATTATCTTCTAAGGGTGGATCCAACGGGTCCTACCTTAAGGTAATTCCACGATTATCACAAAAAAAAATAAAAAATAAAAAATAAAAAATTTATTGTGTCAAGAAATTCTATTCAACTCCAAGACCCAAGTAACACTAAAAAATAATAAGTAATTTAAAAGTTGAATTTGAAGAAAAAAATAATAAGAAAATTCTGACTATATGCAAAAAATTTTCGTCATGTAAATAAAGTCAGATGTGTCTAACTTTTCAAGCGCGAACAATACTCTCTCTCACACACACAGATGGAAGGATTGACCGTCGTCTATTTTACATTGTAATCCTGATTTTCAATTACCCAATACATCATAGCATGGTGTGCGTGGGTGAACTTAATTGTTGAAGTTGAAGGCATGGGATGGGGTATAGAAGGTCCCACATGCTATCCCACTGAGAGTACAAAACACGGTGTATGATGGATTACCAATCACCAATTCACAGGGAGACAAGCAGACAAGTGGGATTCCAGGTTGTCTCCTACCCAATCATCAAAGTGGGGGCTAATAATCTCTCTCGCTGTTGTCTCTAACCTAATCATCAAACCCACTTATTTGTTTATTTATTTCTCCTTAAATTTAAGGATCTCATTAAGAATTCACGATTTTTAGCATTGTTAATTCAGATGCACTTAATTATACTTGATCTAAAATTGCACATTGCATCATATAGTCTGTAAGACCACAAACCCAACATCTCTAGAATATGGTGAAATAAGAAAAGTAGACCCATAGGAGTTAAATAATAAATTTGAAAGAAATTTGAACATGAGTTTTGGTTGAATGGGATCAGTGGTGAATTACTCTGTCAATATATAGATCTCATTTATTGGTCTAGACTTATTAGGTGGATATTGGGGCATCTTATAAGGGACGCTAACGTTTAGCATGACATCGAATCAAAGACTGAGTTTAATTCTGATAATAATTGTTTTAAATCAAGAATTTTTTAACTAAAAAACTTAAGTTATTATGTAGTGTTTTATAAAGGTGAGACTTGGGTTGTACCAATCAGAGCAATCCGATTCTCGACTGAAATTTTTACAAATGGGTAAGGTACTTAAGATTGTGGGATGTGACTGTGTTTAAACTTTAAAATTTGAATTTATTTTGGATGAAATTTGGGCAAGTTTTAGTAGCTTGAGAAATCCAAAATATAATAACAATTCAAAAATTTTATAGTTAGAATTAGCTAATGTATATGATTCATCGCATGAGATCATATTGCACACAGTTAAACATTTTATTAAAATTTGATATAATTCGAGAATCCTGAAAACATATGTAACTTGCAGGGGCTAAGACGTATTGGGTTTCTTGAGACTTGGACTTAGTGCGAGTTAAAGTATCAGAATCTTGGGTTTAGAGAGAGCTAACCCCAAGTCCCACCCCTAGAGTCGCATACATGTCAACATACATCCCACTCATTTTCCATCCCGATGTGGGATGAGTCCCTCTAACAACCTTGGTTTAGAGCCATTCAATAAATTCTCCTTGTATGAGCCACTTCATAATAATTTCTCCTTGTATGAGTCACTTCATAATAACCCCATTGAATCTTTGTGGTTGGTTGTCTATTAAGATGACATTAATATGATTTTGATGGGGTCCTTCGTAGCTTGAGGATACAGAAATGTGACCACCACTCTTTTTTGGAAGCAAAATGATCGAAGAGAGGAGCAATTTATTTTAATTGCTCGGATTGAAATTTGGTGTAAAGGTTTTCTAACATGATCTCCACTTGGGATAAGAGAGGACCCCCTAAGCTGACTTGTTCAATGAAACTAGTCCAAAAACCTTTTCATACAATGGGTTGGTGTAGATAGGTTAATGGGTCCTGTCAAAAATGTTTAGTACAACCCTAACTTTTATAGTGCTCATTGTAATTTACATGACAATGAGTAAAGACATTATAAAACAAAAATTGACAGAGAGCACTCCTTGCTGCCATTTTTTTTTTCTACTTTCAATCACCAAAGAAAAACAAAGAAATGGAAAAATTAGGTAACCTGATAGTGCATAAAGTGACTGGCTGCAACAATTTTTTTTGGTGAAAAATAGCAATTTTAAGTACAATAGACCTTTAGTGGAACTTGACATGCCATTAATCAACAGAGGAGGAAGGTGGATGATTGTAGATAGCGATATGTGGAAGGAAGTTGGCTCTAGTGATGGGATAGTCATCTTCAATGGTGGGAAAAATATGTGAATGTGACTTTGTAAAATTTTTAAAAATGTCATATGCGAGAAGGGTAAAGCTATCAAGTGAGCGCTCACGCAGGAGTACCTACCTATTAGGTTCCTTTAACCACATGATTGCTTGCAACCTAGAGATTTGGAAAGAATGAGACTGTAGCTTTTACCGACAAAGAAGTGATAGGATAAAGAATTAATGAAGGAGGAAAATTCAAAAAGCAAGACACTTCAACAACTCCAACCATCAAAATCTCATATCCCTAATTTTTGAAGAACTATTTTCCCTCTCTATCCCCGAGAACTTGAAATCTCCTCTCTTTAAAATGAGAATGTATTTAGTACACGGTGCACCGGATTAACCTGAGCCGTTTGTAATATGTATACTGGATATTTATTCCTCCAAAATTATGTGATGAAACAACAAAAGGGCATATGAAAATCAGCAAGACGATTAAAGGGTGACATGGATGGTACCATTTGAGTTCTAGGGTGCCTCTTTGCATTTTGGGAGACTGAAGAATAAGAAGAATTAACTTATCCATTTTTCCCTGCAAGAAGAGAAGGTGAATTGACTAGTTTAATGGAAGTGGGTAGGCAGAATCAAGGTATTAGATAAACAAAGGAAGCATCAAAAGGTCAACCAAAAGAATAAGGCTATGCTAGATTCAGTTTTTTGAGAATAGTTTTATTTTTTATTTTTTGAGAGTTGAAAATTAAAAAATTATACAAAAATCTGTTTGGTTAACAGTTTATTAGAACTCTTTTCTTAATATTTAGTTTTTTTAAAAAAAAAATAAATTAAATTTAAAAAATCTAAAAATAATTTTTATTTTCTAAGTTATTGAAAACTATTTTTTAATTGACAAACCAAACAAGTCCCAATTCATCTTCAAGATTGAGCAAAGTGCCT